CAGGTCCTTGGAGAGGGACATCATGCTTGGTAGAGTGGAGGGAAAGCGCAGAAGAGGAAGGCCCCCTCCCCTATGAGGTAGATTGATTCAGTGGCTGGGGTCATCGGGATGGTGTATCAGAGACGGTGTGATTGGCACAGGACAGAGCAGTTTAGAGCTGTTGTACATAGGGTCGCTATGAGTCACATGCGACTCACCGGCACATATCAACAACAACAACAACATAACCTGGGTCAGGTGCACCTTAGTCTCCAGCCTGATGTTGTTGCTCTTCTGTACTCTTGAGAGGTCCCTCACAGCTGCCTTTTCCAATGCAGTTTGCCTCTTGATTTCCTGGCTGCTATTACAAAGAGTGTTGACTGTGGAGCCAAGTAAACTAAAACTGTTAACTATCTCAATTTCTTCACCATCCATACTGATGCTGCCAATTGGCCCAGCTGTGAGAATCTTTGTTTTATTGATGTTGAGTTTCAATCCATTTAGGAAGCTTCAGTCCTTGACCTTCTGCAGGAAGCAGGGTTGTGTCATCTGCATACTGCAGGTTGTTGATGACTCTTCCACCAATCCTGATGCCGCATTCCTCCTCATACAGCCCAGCGTCTCAGATGATCTGTTCTGCATAGAGATTGAAAAGGAATGGAGACAGAATACATCCCTGAGGGACCCCCTTCTTGACTTTGAACCATCTGTTCTGACAACTGCCTCTTGGTCCAAGTACAGGTTTTGCATTAGCACAATCAAATGTTCTGGGATTCCCATTCTTCTCAGAGTCAGCCACAGCTTGTTGTGATCCACACAAAAGCCTTTGCATAGTCAATGAAGCACAGATACAGAGAGAAGGAATTCCTGTAAGATCTAGGTCTTGTCTCCAACTTTTTTCTTTGATCATCTTATACATGGCATTTTGTACTAGAAGATTCCAGAACACAGAATGACCATACTTTCTTTCTCATACTTTCTTATACTTCATTGTCTAGTTTCCCTTTCTACTTGATTTTCCTTCCACTAGCAAAGTAACTACCTCTTCTCTCCATCCCATTGTGTCTGACTTGCTCCCACTGATTCTGAATAGTAGATCATAGTTTTGAAATTATTTCTTCAGAAAACCCCTGAAAATCTGTACTTATAAAAACTGAGTCAGAGGTGGGTGCTGCTTGTTTATTCTCAGAAATTACTGCTGTATAACATCTGACTTTGAATTTTATTTACTTGTGTAACTGCTTGCTCCCATTCTACATTAGACTGAAAACTCTTTAAAGTGAAGCACTATTTTTTTTTTTTTTGCATACTAGTCACATCTCCTACCAATTACTGGACACTAACAGATAATCAGTACATATTAAATAAATGAATATTTAGGTTACTGGAACCATGGTGCTACTTTATTCTCTAACCTTAGTTACAGCAGAGGAAAGTAAAATAAATAAATATACAACCCCAGTACAATCGTTTAATAGCCGGACAACCTCTCTGGAAAACACCCAGTCACATCATTCCCCCTCCACACAGTCCTGTGTGGGTGTTTATCCTGTACTGAACCTCCTGGGAACAAGGAAAGGTGCTGAACCATGGTGAATTCTTTCCAAACTCTGTGCTTTCCCAGAGAACAGATTTTTCATATTATAAGGAACTTTCCTGAGTTCTTTAATGCAAGAAAATGCAGACCAATCTCTGAAGACCCAGGATGATTATCAAGAGGGAGAGAGTTAGAAATCTCAGAGACATTTTAAGGTGGCTAATTGTCTTAGTATCCTCAAGAAAAGTTTTTCAACTCTTATTTGTGAATTTGGTTTTAGTATAAGGCTATGAAATAGGTAAGTGCTTTGAATCACCAGCTCCACCCTTACATAAATGTGTGATCTTTGAATTTCCTTATTTAACAGAAGAACTATACTATTTACCTTCATTTAATGAACTTAATTTACATACACACACACACACACACACACACACCCCACAACTCAAGTGTGCACCCGTAACATTACTTACACTGAAGGGGGAATTCAGTTGCTAAATCAGATTATCACATAAATCTTTCAGCAAAGAATAAAATAATTTCAGAGTTAAATCCTACATCAGCATTTAAACTAGTTAGTTTCTGTAGTATTATTCTGTAGCTATTTAAAAACTTTTCATAGATTACATTTTTAATATGAAAGGGTATGTTGTTTGGATATATTTAAAGTTTATCTGGATCTTTAATTTGACTTGAACTGACATTTCTCTGAAACTTAGTGCCTGCTGTAAGCTGGCTCAATTTAGTATTTCAGAAACCAACCTGTCATTTACAAGGCCTCTAGGGCAAATGAAATTGCAGGAAGTAATTGCAATTGAACATTTTTAAACTTTGAAAGGCAGTCACCTGAAAAATAAGAAATACAAGCCATCCCTCTTAGAGTAGATGAAGATTCCACTTAAAATTTAACACAGGATGTGTACAAGTACTTGCTTTATGTGATATGTAGGTATTACCAAATTAATGTCAAAGATCTAATCTGGCAAAGCACATACCTATTGTGGTTGAAACAGAGTTTAAATCTAGAGGCTTTTCCCACTAGTAGTAATAAAGCTTCCCTTTCCATTATTTACCATCTCATTTCCGTCCCACCAAATAGCTCCAGAACATTAATTCTTGGACTATGAATATACTTTGTCTTTAACATGTGAGTATCTTTTAATAGTGTGGTGGTTTTTTTGGTTTTGCTTTTGTTTTTTTTCTGAACTGTGATTTTCTCCTTCATTTCACTCTATTAAAGTTCTATCCTTCAACTCCCTGCTCAAATTGTTTTTGGAAGATTCCGCACTATATTCTGGATAAGAATTACTATTTGAATAACACTTGTGTATACACTTCAGTATCTGAATAAGACTCCTTGTATGACTTTAGTGTCCCAATAGAAAAAAACCCTTAAAATAATAACTTTGTCTTATCCACCTCTAGACCTCACATATTTCTCAGAAAGTGATGCAATGTCTATACGACTGAATTGTTTCTATATGAAGCCATTGTATCCTTTCTGTTAACCTATTAGAACACCAAAGCTTCTCAAAAGGTTTAATGTTTTTTGAGATCATATTAGTTCCTGAATAGTAGTTCTTGTAAAACTTTTTAATGTTTATAAAAGGACTTATCGTAAACTATGTCCCCAATAAAAATAGTTTATAAGATTGTCATTATCTTTACAACTGTTATAATTTACGGAAAAACGATGGAGCTATAATAAAAATAAAATCATAAATAAATAACCTTACTCTAACAACTGCCAGTTTGTCAGCCACACAGATCTATCATAAAGTTATCTACAACTAACAATGACTATAATAATGATTTACTAAGCCAAGAAGCTTGTATATTTAAAGACATACTTATTGCAATAAATAATGCTTTTTATTAAACAAAAACTTCATTCATGTTGAAAACTTGATAAGAGAGCAGGAAAGTGTGATGACTCAGGTCTGATTTCAAAGCATGAAAGAGTAGTTGCATATTGTGGAATTTCCTCTGACATAATACAAGACTGAGGGCGCACGTGTCTTCTGTGTTTTCTGTGATTATAAAAAGCAACAGGAGCACTCTAGTCGACACGAGTCCTCAGAGAGCAAACCTCACAACTGTCTAGGACAAGTGCCAGTGAGAAAGTGGAAAGTAACCAGATCCTGTAAACATGACTTCCAAGCTGATGTTCACTGTCTTGGCAGCTTTCATGCTTTCTGCAGCTCTGTGCAAAGGTAAGGATCTCTTTCTGATCTTCAGAGTTCTCCTTATCTCTACATGCTCAGATAGTAAAGATATTTTTAATGTTTTGACAACAAGTTTTCTTCTGATTTTGAGGAAAAGAAAATAGTACAGTTATTTAACATTATTTAAAGTATTTGTTTAGGTCTCTGGTGGCCTAGTAGGTAAAAAGTTGCACTGGCATCTCAGAGGTTGGCAGTTCAAAACCATCAGGTACTCCTTGGGAGAATAATGGGCAAAGTCCTCCGATGTAGTTAACAAACTCTGAAAACCCACCGGAGGGTCCACTATTTGTCAATTCCAACTCAGTGGAAGCTGACCTATCTATTTAGGCTGTATCTATGTGACATGTAGTGAAGTATAAGCTTTGATTAATGAAAGTACTCTATTTCTATTGTTAAAACCATAGTATTTATACAGCTAACACCGATCTTTAATTTAAAGTGCATCTTATTGTACACCACAGGTATTCATATTGTTATTAATGGGCAAGTTAACTCAGATGACTTCATTCCACTTAGTGTTTTGTTGAATGGTGAATATTTTTTCTTTAAAGATTTCTTGATAAGCAGTGGATCTTGGGCTCCTTCTTAGGAAAAGAATACAGTTTCTGCATTTATGATGTATAATTTATCTATATCTTCCTTTTCTCTTAGTGTTAAGGATTTCATTTAAATCTTACCACTTCTATGGAACTCATAGATAAACTACTATTAATTCTTTCTGAAGGCATTTCCCTGATAATGAATTTTAGTTTATCTACTATAAATAACATATAGAATCAGAGTATTATGCATTTATAAAGATGTCAACAAAGCCAACTTGATATTTTTTTATGTAGAACATTGTTCCATGAACTCAGTCTTAATTGTTTTCAAAACAAACAAACAAAACTTTAAAGTCAGATGCTAAAATACCAGGCCTTCAGTTTCCAAAACGAATTTGTGAAAGATATGTTTTTCACAGGCCCAAATAATCATATTAGAAATAAAGAATGTAGAGCTAGCAGAACTGTACCCATTGAGGAAATTGATCTTTAATTGGCTTTTTTGTCTTCACAGCTGCAGTTTTGTCAAGGGTGGCCTCAGAACTTCGATGCCAGTGTATAAACACACATTCCAAATTTTTCAATCCAAAATATATCAAAGAATTGAGAGTGATTGAGAGCGGACCACATTGTTCAAAATCAGAAATCATGTAAGTACGTCATAAAGTGATTGGGTTATTTAGCAAATCTGGAAAGAAGAAAAGAGAAGAATCCAAAGAAATTCTAAACCCAAACCAAACCCATTGCCATAGTGACTCTTCGTTGTGCTTCTAAAGCTATAAACCTTAATAGGAGGAGACTACCCATCTTTTTTCTGAGGAATAGTTAGTGGATTCCTACTTCTGACATTCTCTATGATAGCACAAAACATGATGCACTTTACTACCAGAGCTCTCCCAGGTGCTAGAAATACTGTCACCACTCACAATATGATGTCTAATTGATTCTGACTCATAATAATACAATGATTAATAAAGGGAAAAAGTCCTTGTCTTAATTTCATTGAAATATAGTGCTTTCCATAGTAGCTTAGAGTTTCTTTAAACTTAGATTTTGTACCTATACTTGAGGATTCATAACAAAGGGAAGTCTGAAACATGTCAATGATTATTTTTATTGTCTTTCTTTCATTACAGTGTGAAACTTGTCTCTAAGGATGGAGAGGAAGCAAAAGAAGTCTGCCTGGATCCCAAGGCAAAGTGGGTGCAAAAAACAGTGGAGATATTTTTGAAGAGGTGAGCTACTTTTACTTAAAGACTTCATTTGTCTTGAGACAAATACTCCAAATATAAGTCTATAAATTTTATGCTTCACCTAAAAATACTTTTCTTTATCTGACGTTTGATTTTGAAAAAGGTAGTATTAATTTGCTTTACTGATAACTAGGAAGGCCGGAAGGAATCTCTAGTTTCCTAGTGGGAAAGGAGTTATGCTACCAACTCAAAACAAATAATTCTAATTCACCAGCTGCTCCCTGGGAGAAAGATAGGCAATCTCATACCATGTGGTTTACAGTCTCTGAGAACCTGCTGGAGAATAAAAAATGAGTTGGTTCTGACTTGACGCCACGGAGAGAAAGACCTCATCGTTCAGTCTGTCCAGGAAGGTCTGAGCATAAGCTAATATTCTGGTATAACCATTAGTAGAATCTCTTTCATTTTTTTTTAAAATTTAGGTTGTTTATTTTTCATTTCAATGAACATCTACAGAGATTTTGGGATTCCATTCCTTCATTGTTGCACCCTTCTCCCTGAACAAACCCCTCCCCCCCATTTGCTCCTCTCCTTGAAAAGCAAAAGAAAAACTCCCTCATTGGTACACATTGACCCCCCCGCACCTCCCCAAACCCCACCCCCTACCCCCAAATATAATCCACTCTGCAACCCTCATTGCATACTCCTACGATAAAAATAATGCCCTAAAATGCCGTACGGCATTGAAGTCTATGGGGGAGAGAATAGTCTAAAAGTATTATATTTTAGGGCATTATTTTTATCATTCTTAAAGATGTTTTAGTCTTCCTATTTAGAAATGAAATATAGAATATTTCCAACACACAAAGATCTAAGCGTGTATTAATTCTTTAAGAAAACATAGAAAAATGTCATTTATGAAATTTTATTTTTCTTTTCAGAGCTGAGAAAGAAGAATCGTAGAGAAAATAATAATACATTCCATGGTTTCCAGAAGTTCTCCAGTGAAATCGCCAAGGAAACACCAAACAAATTTGCTTCAGCACTGCATGTATCATGTGGCTCTTGTGTAGGGCTGTTAAAAAAAAAGAATGTCCAGTTGCATTTGAATTTTAGCAAAATAACAAGCAATTTTATTAATTTCTCATTTATATTGACTCATACAAAAAAAGTTTATCTTAAAATCAAATTCAGTTGGAAAGACTATATTTTTATTTATAACCCTAGTTGTGTAGTCAGGATCCATGAATCTCAGTTCAACTATAGACTGGTTTCGTCTCTAATCTCAAACTAGGAAAAATAATAACTTACTCACTTGATAATAAAAAATACCTACGCATTAAGAAGATAATCCTACCTCACAGGGATGTTGTGAGGACCAATTGAAGCACTTTAAAATACTTTTTTATGGTCATATAAATTATTTACAACTGTAAATTATTTATTATTTAAATATTTATTTAAATATAAAATATAGCAACATTTGTGCATGACTGTAGAGAAGTGAAAAAGGAAATATTGTTCATAGATTATTAATAGGATAGTATAACCATATATGTATCTATTTTAAATGTGAAGTGATGTTCACATGAGTAAGCTTTTTATTAAAGATGACAGATTAGTTAAATTAAGATAAAGGGTACTTGGTTAAATTTGAATTTTAGATAAGCAATGTTTAATATTTTTAGTATAAGTATGTCATTGTTCATCTGAAATCTAAATTTGACTAAAAGTCTTACTTTTGGTAACTTTTCGGTTACTTTTTTGATCCCGTCACTCTACCTTGTTATGGAAAGTTGTGGTGAATCATCAGAATTCTGAACTAGAACTGTCTAACCCCATAAAGCAAAAACTTACTAAGCAGTAAAAACAGAGTCATTTTCTTTTGATTACAAGATATTCACTACATACAAATAAATTATCATAATTTTATTGAAATGATTGTAGTTTTTCACAAGAATGTATATTTTTAAACTTTAAGATAATTGCATGTTGCCAAAAATACATTTTCTTACCTTTTTAATAGCATGTAGATATAAATGTAGTTATAAAGCATTGCAAGATTAGAAACCATCACCAATAGAGAGATGTTTATCTTTGCCATTTGTAGATATAAAATTTCCTGGGAAGTAATCAAAACAATGTGTGTATGTATAAATTGATGAATGAAAACCAATTTGCTCTGTAAACTTTACCTCAAATCACATTAAAAAGGTTTTATAATTTACTGAGGATCTCCTTGCTTATATTAAAATAATATTTTTTATTTTTTTATATTGATTTTATTATGAAATTCATAAATGTTGTGTTTGACACTAGCCTTCATTCACATTATGTTTCATACACTTATTCTTATTCATTATATTGTCAAAAATAAAAAAAATATTGAGCTAAGCCCACCATTGCCCTGTCTTTCCATATCCCCACCGGATCTTTCCCACTTTCTTTACACACTGCTCCCTCTACCCATTAAATAGTGTAACCCTATGATCTCCCCCTGCTCATCCTCACCTCTCCGCTCTTTCCGTCCCTTGGATCCTCATACACAGTTTACTTGTTATCTTTTTATTTCTACAATAATAGTCTCATGCAGTATTTGTCCTTATGGGACTGAGTTTAGGAAACCTAAATGCAACTTCTCAGCATTTTTTAATCTTATATGAAAATTAGATTTCTTTTCCATAGTTCCAATAAAATTCTTTTATTACTATAAATAGTCTTTTCTTCTATGTTGTTGACTGTTAGGAGTCTTTGAGTCAACTAAGACACATAGAAATCCTATGAAAAAAAGAACAAATCTTGCCCTGTCTTGTGACACCCTCACAATCTCCTCCATGCTCAGCTCCATTGTTTTAGTCACTGTGCCAATCCATCTCATTGATGGTCTGCTTTCCTTTTGGTGATACTCAGCTTTTCCCAGTCTTTTTCCAAAGACTGATTCCTCCTAAAACATACCCAAAGTTTGTGAAACCAAATTTCACCATCTTTGCCTCTATGGAAGGAGCTCTAGCTAGTTCATAAGAAGTTGCATTGCTAACCCACAGGTTACACTTCTCTGCTCCTTCTAATCTACCAGTCATTCAGCAGAAGAAAGATGAACATTCTCCTCCCTCATGTTTTACAGTTTCCAAACACCTGATGAAAAAATCAGATATGAGTGGCTTCTCACTTGATGGCAATTAGTTTAAGGTGATATTATTGCTATTGTTGTTTCCAGGGAACATTCCAGTTACACTTCCTCCAAGAGAGGAGTGTTCTTTAGACCCCATATGCAACATTTGGTTAAAAACACTGGCTTTAGATTTTCTATAAATTTGAGAGTACTTACTGAATTTCTACCATCTGCCTAAATGGTTTGTCTTATACTCTCTGAAAGTTGTTGCTATGTGTCATTGAATAGAATACGACTTAGATCTAATGAACAAAGGTCTGAAGTCTGTCCTATCCTATGCCATTCTCACTATCTCTGACACAATTAAGCCATGGCTTCCATTACTTTGGCAGTCCATCTCATTGAGGGTCATCCTCTCCTTCACCAACTCTCCACTTTTTTCCAAGCATGATGTCCCCCTCCAGGGATACCTAACAACATGCCCAAAGTGTGTGAGGCGAAGCATTGACATCACAGCCTCTAAGGAGTAGTCTGGCTGCACTTTCTCTAAGGCAAATTTGTTTATTTTTTTGCAGTCCATGGGATAGTCAGTCCTCTTTTATAACACCATAATATAAGGGCATTGATTCTTCTTGCATCATCCTTTTTCATTTTCCAGATTTCAGATTCATAGCAGTTGTTGTTGTTGTTGTTATGTGTCGTCGAGTTGTTTATGACTCATAGCTACCCTATGTACAACAGCCCTAAACCCTGCTCTATCCTGTGCCAATCACACTACCTCTGACACACCCATCCCGATTACCCCAGTCACTGAATCAATCCATCTCATAGAGGGTCTTCCCCTCTTGCGCCATCCCTCCACCCTCCCAAGCATGATGTCCCTCTCCAAGGGCCTGTCCCTCCTTGCAACATGCCCAAAGTATGTCTGACGAAGCCCCAGAATCCTTGCCTCCAAGGAGTTGCTTGGTTTAATCCTCTCCAGGATGGCAGTCCATGGTACATTCAATACTCTTCTCCAGCGCCACAGCTCAAAGGCATCAATTCTCCTTCTGTCTTCCCTAGTCATTGTCCAACTCTCTGATGCATAACAAGTGATTGCAAAGACCATGGCCTGTATCAGGTGCACCTTAGTCTCCAGAGAGACACCGTTACTCTTGAGTACTTTAGAGAGGTCCCTAACAGCAGACTTTCCCATCGCAATACGTTTTTTGATTTCCTGACTGCTGGTGCCAAGAGTGTTGACGGTGGAGCCGAGCAAACTGAAGCTGTGAACAATCTCAGTCTCTTCGCCATCCATCCTGATGCTACAGATTGGTCCAGTGGTGAGAATCTTTGTCTTCTTGACATTGAGCCTCAGTCCATACTGAAGGCTGCAGTCCTTGACCCTCTGCAGCAGATGATTGGAAAAATTATGGCTTTAATCATGTGTACCATAGTTTTTTGTTTTGTTTTTTTAAATTTCTACTTCTTTTTATTAATTTTAATTAATGTTTACAGAGACTGAGGGCTTCCATTCATTCTGGTTGCACTTTTCTCCTTGTCCACCCACTACCCCCATTTGCTTTTGTATAAATAAAACAATTTTTTTCATTGTTATCAATCCCTCCCCCCAAGTCCACTTCACCATAGTTTTTAAAATGGCATCATTGTGTTTCAGAACTTTGGAGAGGTTTTATAGCAGACTTTCTTAAAACTATGTGTCTCTTAATATCCAGACTGCTGGTACTATGGGTGTTGCATGTAGATCCAAGTAAGCTAAAGTCCTTAACAATTTTAATCTTTTCTGTATGTATCATGATGTTGTCTATTAGCCCAGTGGTGAGGATTTTTGTTTTCTTGATGTTGAGATGTAACCATATTGAAGGCATTAGTCCCTAAATTTCTCAGTAAGCACCTCAAGTCCCACTTGCTTTCAGCAAGCAAGGTTGTTCCATCTGCATAACACAGGTTTTTGATGAATCTTTCTCCGATCTTGAAGCCACATTTTCATTATAAATACCAGCTTCTCAAATGATTTGTTCAGCACACGGATTGAATAAGTATGGAGGATAGATGAAGCCCCAGTGCACAACTTTCTTAATTTTTTTTTATTTTATACTGATTTATTTACAAAGTTTGAATTAATTGTTTTTCACAAAAGATTCCTCCCTGCCCCGATCCTCATACTCAGTCTACAATAATGGTTTTATACAATATTTGTCCTTCTGGGGCTGAGTTAGTTCACTTAATATAATGTTCTCCAGTCTCTCCCAAATTAGGTAGTAACTGACAAAGTCAGTTCTCCTATGTGCTGGGTAGTATTCCACTGTATGAATATACCACAACTTCTCAATCCATTTGTTTGTCGTTGGACATTGTTGCGGAATGCTGTGGAGGAAGGGATGGTCTCTGGCCAGGACCGATCGCCCAAGCTCCAGATAAGTGCAAGCTTCCCAATGACCTTTAATATGGGATAGAGAAAACTCTCCTGTGTTTGGCTGTAATGACTTGAGAAAGCTCACCACCTGGGAAGATGGCTGCCGCATCTGTTGAGCTGGGAGTGGTCTACACGAGGCTGAGGTTCTCCTATCCAATCTGCATGTCCCATGTCTGCAAGTCCACCCTATCCTGTCTTCCTATTTACATGTTTGTATATAAGTACACTGCAGATCCCAATAAAATTGAGCTGGATTGACTCTCTGATCCTCTCCCAGAGTGGTGTATCTCCATTGTGATTACCTCCATCAGGGTGTCACTATCAAATTGCTGGTGAACTGACAGCAACATATGGCACCTTGAACAGGAACGGACCTGATGAAGTATCAGGTGAGTACCCTCTGTGCTCACTCCTGTCAAGTTTTCAAGTGAGTAT